TGATGGACGATCAGTCACCTGGTAACACGAAAATGATTCTGACCGAGGCCTATGCAGATTTTGATCTCATTATAAAGTACTATCTGTCGGGTTCAACGGTACCATTCAACTTTATGTTCATTAGTGATCTAAATAACAAATCCACCGCGGTCGATTTCAAACGTAGTATCGATCGTTGGATGAACAACGTGCCTAACGGTACGGAATATGTTGCGAATTGGGTGTTGGGCAATCACGACAATCATCGCGTTGCTTCCAGATTTGGCGAGAAACGGGTCGATCAACTTTTCATGTTGGTGACCATTTTACCCGGTGTAAGTGTAATTTACAATGGTGACGAGATCGGAATGGTCGATAGGGAGTTTACATATGAAGAAACTAAGGATCCCGCCGGATGCAATGCTGGACCCGAAAGGTATTGTCATAATAAAATAATGAATTTGAATAAAATCATATCGTTAAGACGTATAATATATTCCAATATAATCTATAAATATAACTATTTACTTAATAAGTATTGCATTTTATATTTTATAAATATAAATAACTTTAGAATGCTATATATTTGATATTATTTGGAATATAAAGTATTGATTAATAAAATTATGTAAAAAATACTATCGCGAAATTTATATACTATACTCGTAAATCATATTTAGCGTTCAGAGACATTTAGATTATTATTACGAGGATTCGTATGATTTTATTTACTAATGATTAGTATATATATATAATGCAAATCATCTATATTAATGTTGTTTTTAGTTACAATAAATATATTATGAATTGATTATCTATTTTGACAAAAAATAATTATATCACATTATTATAATATTATATATACTAATGCTGTCTTTTCGATTTTGTTAACAAGTTATAATAAACGTGAGTAATTATTGCGAAAAGGTTAAACCTCACTGATAATTTTAACTTTAACATATGTTGTCAAGGTTATGATGCTGAGTAATCTCTTAAGAGATTTTAGTTGGCGGTCGTTATTACTTATTAAAAAGTTATAAACAAAAGATTTAATAAATAATGTTTACTCCCTGTCGAGATTCACCCCACTCCTCCTCTGCCAAGAGGCCTGCGACTTCCACGCGAAGCAATTATTACCACAATGGGTAAAGAGAGGGGGGTGAATAATTTAATACATAAACTTCTATATTTATATTGAAGATGTATCTTTTTATTATTTAATGAGACATATTATCACGTTTTCAGATATTGGCTAAAATCGCGAGATCCAGAAAGAACACCTTTTCAGTGGAATGATGGCCCCAACGCCGGTTTCTCTACCAGCAGTTCAACATGGCTTCCAGTGAACGAGAATTATATCCATTTGAATGTAGAGGCACAAAAATATAAAGCCTACTCTCATTATAACATATTAACGCGCTTAATAGAGTTGAAAAAGAAGTCTGTCATCGAGTACGGCACGCTGGAGACTGCGTTGTACTGTTCCAAGTGCTCTGTCACCGAAAATGTTTTAGGAGTGGTACGACGACACAGATCATATATTGTTGTCTTAATAGTGAACTTCAGCGACACGGAGATGATCGTTGTTGATATTGGAATGTGGTTAAATATTTCGGAGCCATTAAGAGTATATACATCCAGCAAAGGTTCCAACTTGTCTCCAAGACAGATCGTTGAGTTACGTTCCTTCAGTCTATCTGCTTCGGTCTCTGCTGTACTCACTACACCAAATTTGTTGAACTAAATTTTTGCTTATTTCGTGTTACCAAATAAAACTTTTAAGGGTCGATTGTTTCACTTGTATTTTCGGTAAAATTTACCTGTTAAGTAAATCTGGCAATCCGCGTACGTGATTGGGTAATCTTGCTGCTTAACTAACTAAACTAAACTTTATCAAAAGATGGAACATCGGCGCTAAATAAATCAAATTTTTGGATGTATTAAGCATAGATATTTTTTTTGCAGACAGATTGTGTCTTGTATAAATCTGAGAAAGATCTTTTAAAGGAAATGTATATCTTGTGATACTAATGATTAAAAATAAACTTGTTGCCATTAGATATCGTGTTATCATTAATTGCAAAAAAAATCATTGCAACAGCAGTTGAAGTCAATTAGTAATTACTGCTTTATGTATTTACAGAATGTACATTTTTGTTTACCAAATACAAAATAAGAGTAATTTTTTAATTATCCTTCAGTATATAAGAGACACGGTAGTGTCTCGCGCCAAATGAACGCGCAGCGCGAGATGAACCGTACCTTTTTTACGCGAGTCGGCGAGTTACGAACGATCGAGAGTGGATATCAATAACGGTTGAATCGATCAAATTCTACGTATGCTCAATCAATAGCCACCGCTCAGGTCGTGTAATGAAAGTGATTTTATTTTTTTTCTACGTGCTCTATGAATGCAGATATCGCGATGCAAAATCTAAAATGTATATAAAATTAAGATTGGGATACGTTAGGGGCTCAGATCTTAGACTTTCGGAAGAAATTCTAAAATGTAATCTGAGACACTTGGAAACCAAAACGCATTATTATTTTGATCATGCCTCCATTGTTTATTTAAAAAATGTTAAACAATTAGCGACTGCATCGGCCACAGATCACACGCACGCGTGTAATAGACGTTCGGAAAAAAATTCTATTAATGTTCTATTAACATGTTAAATTTTTTGCTATAAATACGTGCACTTGTCAATAAGAGTGAGGGTGAATATGGACTTACATCAAGGTTTGTTAAAGAAATTACATTTTAACAAATCTAGAATATTTTTAAGACCGTACAATTGATAAACAATAATAAACTAGAAGAAGAAAGCCATTTAAGATGCTATAAGCATCAAAAATTGTTAGATTGCTTGTCAATTTAACTAAGTGATATTACTGCGGTAGTAAGTATGTACGAGCGTCAATGCTGAAAAACTATCAGCGTCGCGATTTATGGGGGGACTACATACGCAGTATATAAAATTCACACAATTATAATAAGAGTACTGTGATCCAGCTTCGACCGTAAAATGGCTTTCTTCTTCAAAATTACATTTTGTTTTACTAAACAACTTAATATTTTACAGTATTAAGTACTGATACTAATTTTATTCGGATTGGTCGCAATTAAAAGATAGATCTTTGAAATTACAATATAAAAATTACACAATATAAAAAAAATGTTATTAGATTTTTTATTGCAGTTTTAGCTTTTTAACAATTTTAACCGAAAATTTGTCGAGATGTTGGCTAAAGTCATGATGTAAGAATATGTAACTGTGTGTAACACAGATGTATAGTGGTCGTTGAATAATAAACAAGACAATTAAATTTACCACGATGTGACGAGACATTTAAATCAATCAATGTAAAAGTGTAAATAAAATTAAATATTATAAACATAATATAAAATTATTATTATGACACCTTTTATGAATAAATTAATAATGATATAATGCAATAAATAAAATAACAATAATGAACAATAGCCTATATTAATTAATAAATAGAAAACGAGGAAAAAGAAGAAATGAATAAAACTCTCAATTTTTTTTAGATACTCTGTATACATATACATATACATATATATATATATATATATGCGTGTGTGTGTGTGTGTGTGTGTGTGTGTGTAAAAAATATAATAAATTTTAATAAATCATTTGTTTGCATACAGTGTCAAATATTTATTAAATATAAAGATATATTTACTTGATACAAAAAATATTCATTTGATTCAAATATTCTTCTTATTAAGTAAATATGTATTTATTGTAAATAAATGTTTAGTTGACTGTTCAAATAAATAATTATTAAAATTTAGAATATTCTTTCTCAATGTATATATACTTCATAAATTATGAATAATCGTAGATCTGTTTCTTTTATGTATTAGAATGCACTAATTTTTTCAACTACGAAAATTCTTTTTCTTGTTTTCGCCAAATATTGTATCATATGGTACCTACTTTTGTATCTCACTTTTCAAGAATAACGTCGAAATTTTCAAAACGAGATGTATTATTAAATTTGTTTGCACTTTTAAGTTCCAAAAGTGTACACAAATTTAATAACAGATATCTTTTGAAAATTTCTATTACATAATTCTTGATAATTTATAGACTCCTATATAATATATATTACACCTGACTGCTAAGTCCCGTCCCTTCAGTCGTTGCCAAAAAGTACGACATGTGCAAAATAACACTCATGCATACACAGAACAGCATTCTATTTGCTTTTAACTAATAATAGAGAGGCTGTGTTATTCTACTGACGTCTCACTCCTACTTTGAGATTCCTATTCTGCGCATTCATTTCGCGCAGACAACGTTTTACATAAGAAAAAAGTGGGAGTTAATATTCTACTGTCACATATAAAAGTCTGTGTGACAGTTGCAACTAAAGCGTATGTACAATTGGCACGAAAATGTGTAGTATGTGACCGAGTGCAAATCAAGTGTGATATCCTCGTATGTAAGTATCTATTACTATGAAAAATAACATACGCGTATCATATAGCACAAATCATTTCTCCGAATTATAATCACCGCGAGCATGCAAATTAAAAGATCCGGGACATCACTTACGCAAAACGTCCAGGAAGTGAATCGGATCGTAACGTATGTACGCAGTAATGTTCACGCGCTACGTAATCGCTTGGCCCGTTTTTAACTCACGTTCTTGTACTATTTTAGCGTTTCTTTATCAACCTATTTCATAAGTTCATATATGCAAAGACAATAGTAATAAAATAATTTTGAACGTATTACAGTAATTACGTGTAATTGCAATGATTATGTTTTGAGATAAAAGTCACAGCATGATGAAACGATAATGCAAGAAATCATTTGATATTGCTCGATAAGAACGTTATTGCAAAGAATGTATATCGTTATCAGTTGATAATTCCTGGACGTAACCAGCTTATCGATAATACGACTCAAGTTTCTAAATTTTTCAGAAGTTTGACGCTTAGTATAAAAGCAACCGGAGAAAGTAATCAAAATAATCAAACAGTCACTATGATTCGTTCGTGTATTCTCATCACGGTGTTGATCGTTCTGGTCGGCTCAAACACGGCCCAGGAAGCGGGTAAGGATTGGTATAAGAATAGTGTGGTGTATCAGATCTATCCGAGAAGTTTCAAAGACAGTAATGGTGATGGCATTGGCGATTTAAACGGTATCACGGAAAATTTGGTACACGTTAAGGAAATTGGCGCCGATGCGGTTTGGATGTCACCGATCTTTACTAGTCCACAGAAAGATTTCGGCTACGACGTTTCTAATTATATTGATATTAATGAAGAGTACGGTACCTTAGAAGATTTTGATGTACTCATGGATCTAGCACAATACCATGGGCTAAAAGTAATTCTTGATTTCGTGCCGAATCATAGCTCTGATCAACATGAATGGTTTAAACAAAGTATCAACCGTATTAAACCTTACGATGAATACTATGTTTGGCGTGACGCAAAATATGATGAAAATCAAAATAGGTTACCACCAAACAACTGGTTGAGTAATTTTGGAGGTTCTGCCTGGGAATGGAACGATATACGAGAACAGTATTATCTGCATCAGTTTGCTGTTGGACAGCCAGATCTCAATTATCATAATGACCAGCTGCAAGAAGAAATGAAAAAAGTGTTGGTATTCTGGATGGATCGGGGAGTAGAAGGCTTCCGCATTGATGCAATTAACCATATGTATGAGGATGATCAATTCCGGGATGAACCATTAAGTAACATACCCGGAGTACCAAGCGATGATTACGACTTCTTGAACCATATTTACACGAAAAATCTTCCTGAAACTTACAAAGTTCTCGAGAGTTGGAGGAAGCTGATGGACGATCATTCACCTGGTAACACGAAAATGATCCTGACCGAGGCCTATGCAGATTTTGATCTCACTATAGAGTACTATCGGTCGGGTTCAACGGTGCCGTTCAACTTCATGTTCATTAGTGATCTAAATAACAAGTCCACTGCAGCCGATTTCAAACATAGCATCGATCGTTGGATGAACAACGTGCCTAACGGTACTGAATATGTTGCGAATTGGGTGGTCGGCAATCACGACAATCATCGCGCGGCTTCCAGATTCGGAGAGGAACGGGCCGATCAACTTCCCATGTTGGTGACCATTTTGCCCGGTGTAAGTGTGATTTACAATGGTGACGAGATCGGTATGGTCGATAGGGAATTTACATATGATGAAACTAAGGATCCCGCCGGATGCAATGCTGGACCCGACAGGTATTGTCATAATAAAGTAATGAATTTAAGTAAAACTATCTCTCTCTCTCTCTCTCTCTCTCTCTCTCTCTCTCTCTCTCTCTCTCTC